TCTCATCTAGTTCCGAAGTTATACGCAAAAATGTGCAAAATATAAGTTGCTGATTCAGCACAACGTGTGACGTCAAATGAATACTAAACTGAAACATAGCTCAGTTATTATGGGCCCAAATCAAATGAAATTTTGCATACTGATTGTACATGATGAGACGCATTGAAAAACACTTCTAATTTTGTTGCCAAGGTAAAAATGTCGTTCCCAGGCCCCTTGCGCCAGTTTTATAAAACAGCTTTATTCATGGTACTTATAAGAATAAAATAATATCAGAAGTATGTGTACCAAACCTATGCATGCCAAAAGTTTACTTGCATGATAATAATTCGAAAATGACATACACATAGATAAATGCAACTAGTTATTCAAAATCAGTGTAAGGGGCCTGGGAACGACTGTGTTGCCTTGACAACGAAATTAGAAGTATTTTCCCATGCGTCTCATCATGTACTATCTGTATGCAAAATTTCATTTGATTTGAGCCAATAATAACTGAGCTATGCTTCAGTTTAGTATTCATTAACTGACATACTTACCCAACCAATGACGTCACACGTTGTGCTGAATCAGCAACTTATATTTTGCACATTTTTGCGTATAACTTCGGAACCAGATGAGATATAATATAGCAGTAAACGGCCAATCGGCTTATTTTATCATGCTCTTTCAGATAAAGCAATAAAAATTTTTATTGCCAATACCCTTTAATTAACAATTATTGATGAGCTCGAGGTTTTTGTGATATGCGGAATTATTATATGGCTTTTCAACATTCTCTATTCTGATTGGTTGACAAGCGGTCCGTAAAAACCCATATCCGGACCGTGGTCCGTATTTTCCGTATCTGGACCGGTGTCCAGGATGTCGTTTATCTGGCGGGAAATTTTTGCTTTGCAAACAGAAAAAATTTTTGCTTTTTAATTTTCCAATTGTGTGTCATTAAAATTTACAGATAAAAATTTCAAACAACCAAATTGTTTTTGATTGAGCATGCATGCCCACCGTGTATATTGTTACCCAGTGAAACTGGCGATAGCCGATTTAATTTGCGCGAAAACCATATGCTCACAGACTCAGTTCAGCCATATAATAAACCGATTATTGACCTCGCTTGTTCGGTCTGTACTGTGAAACATCAGACCTCTGTTTTTTTGCACGGACCTCGCACCTTCGTCGCTCGGTCGGTCCATACTAAAAAACCTCGGTCGGATATTTCACAGTACAGACCTCACGCTCGGTGAATAAGCCGTTATTATCAAGGTCGAGGTAAGCGTTATCAGCCGAGCCGAAGGTGATAACGCTTACCAAGACCTTGAAAATTCCGCATATCACAAAAACCGAATTAAATAATTGTTTTATTACACATTTGTTTGTGTTAAATAGGTACTGCTTGCTAATCATCGCAGGCTCATTTGCAGATAACTCAGTTACAGTGGTGTCAAGTAACGAAGTAAATGTACTTCAGCATGTAACAAAGTCAAATCTTTTCTGGAGTACTTTTACTTGGAACGAAGTCGTTTTAAGAAGTAACGTTTTACTTCGTTATTTTCATTTTGTGGCGACGTATTTCGCTACTTTCTAACTTTTGTTTAATTTTACGTGATTTATTCCTGATTACCTCGGGTCGGTACGACACCGAGGTCATAAATTTGGCTCCTATTTTTTTCCCATTTTGTGTCGAGCCACGCGCGTAGTCGAAGAGCCTGCGGAGGAGACGACAACTTCCGGTAAATAAGTGTACTTCCGGGAAATTTCAAGCATCGACCAAAGCGAAACGGAACCCGAAGCTGTCCTTGCACAAAATCCGTCAAAATTGTTGATTTAAAACCTGATAATTTTGACATACATGTTTAGCTGGATAACTATTCTCGGGTATATGTTGATATAATGTTCTATACTTCGTATGCATATAGCATGGGAATACCGCGGCCAACTTTCACTTGTTTGATACTGCTAAGCATTTTATGGATGGTTCTTACTGTAACTGGTAACTGGTAGACAACAATTTTGCCAACTGTCCACTCATTACATTCTTCGACTGTGGTACAACTATTACTAATGATGGATCAGTCATATGCACCTAATTATATTTTCGGTACTTTGATATATTTTAAAAATATCTGAAATGACTGTCGTTCTGCTACGTGCAATCAACAAATAGACTGATAATATTGTCTGTTAGTGTTACTAAATACAAGGTGAAGTAGCTATGTATATCATTCACTCGTCCACAAAATATCCCAAATAATGAATAAATACAGTTAAATAATTGCGTCAGTAAATTCTCTAAATTGTTCCTGTATTTAACGATTATCAATTAAAATGTTGAAACGGAACTTTGATTGGCTGATTCACCATTTATACTAGTGAACTATTAAACTATCGTGATTTACACGATTTTTGCATATTTACCAGACGATGCCCTATGCACCGATCCGAGGTTAACGCCTAGCGGGCGTCTTGTTTATTTTAATTTTGGGATAGGTAATACATTCGACTGGGATCTCTCGTATGTGGTTTACTTATATAAGTATTATGTATTTAATGGATTTCTTAAATCTTCAACGGGGTCTGGAAAGTAAACCATGCCGTGAAATATTGTATATTTATAATGCGTGTGCTGTTTTGTGTTTTTTTTTGTATCTCAACTCATCAATGCATGGAGAAGCCCTCCAAACACTCTACAGACAATAGTACTTTTACTTTTACTCTGCACTTCAAGTATTTTTTTAAGGATACTTTGTACTTTTAACTTAAGTACGTTTTGCCTCCAGTACTCTTTACTGTTTGTTACTCAAGTCATTTTATTGTTACTTGCTTCTACTTCTTACTTTTACTTCTACTTACACCACTGCTCGGTTATCTGAATTTTCTGTAGGTTACGTGATTGCGCGATTTAACTGTAAGCTCTTAGCCAATCAAATTGCTTTTACCAATGTATAATAATAATAATAATAATAATAATTTGTTATTGTTGGGGTTTGTCTGTTAATGACGTGTATTAGTGAGCTGAAAATCTCAATTTCCCCTCAAGAATTAATTCTTCACGCATCTAAGCATTTCACTGAAGATATATTTAAAAGCATTGTTTGCCCAAAATACTATACGCGCACAACTTTTGCCTTAAGTTCACATTAGTCCGGTTTTCATATGGTCGTAAAAATAGAGTAACAATCTTTCACAACGACCAGTTTATAATAGTTTATACCTGTAAACCACATATAAACCATAAGTATTCTCTAGTTATAATCACTCCGCGTATATTCTCAGTTCTAAAACGTTGTATTTCAGCTGATGAAAAAGATCGTGACTCAATCTTTACGACCGTTACGACCATATGGAAACCAGGCTTAACCTGGGGTATGTCGGCGGGCAATTGTCGTCAGCATGCAGTTCAACCAAATAATTCACAAAAGAATGTATGCATCGACAGCTGTAAACAATGATTGCGCAGCCATACCATGCACATGCAGGCATATATGAACCAAGCTTAACTGAAACTGTCGCATGCAACCTGCTTACAGCTTGAGTTGTATAGGTTGCAAGCGACAGTTTTAGGCAAAAGTTGTTTAGTGCAAATCGACCTTACAGCAAAACATTTAAGCAAACGCTGCCAATATAAAGACCATTTAACTGACTAGTGTTTCGTTCGATCATTCAGATCATTTAACAGATCTAAAACAATGTTTGACATACAACATTATTATCAGTTTACATTATTATCATTATTATTATTATCATTATTATTATCAGTTTACATGTCAGGTAGTAAAAATACTGGACTGATATGTGCATGTGCATGGCATATAATTTGCAACATTGTTTGGAACAATGCAAAAGTTTGAGTTCTAAAACGATGATTCAACGTGGTGACCAGTTCCTGGTCCCAGTAGTACGATCGTACTGGTTTACTCACATGCAATGGGTTTACATAAATATGCGGACTAGCGGAGTGCAGACTGCGGAGTGTTGAATTTGCGGAGTGTTGAAAATGTGGAGTGTTGCTGGTCAAACCAAACAATGCCTGCAGAAACAATTAACTTTCCGAACATAACAAACTAGACATCATCTTTGCAACTATGAATACGTGCAACACATCATAAGCTGACACCATGCATATGTTAATACACGTCCCACGAATACCTCGACAACAATCTCAAACCTAATTTGTGACAATGTACAAATCCTTCACTCTAGCACATCTAACTTCCTTTTATTCCTCAAAATCACTGTGCATAAAATCCCTTTCTCTTAATTCTGGTCTCAAAGCCAGCAAGGAAACTTGTCCTGTTTTCTTAACCTTTTCATAACACTTTTCATAATCAGACTCTTGCCAACAAATTTCCTTGTAATGACGTCATGTCATGGAAGCTTTATATAAGACCGTGTATTATATTGTAACTTTAGTCTGTCTGATGGTGATTTTGCAATAAAATTGAAATATCACACAAACTCATTCTCGTCTTGTTTTTAATCCATATCTTGGGTTTCAAGATGCTTATCTTCGGAGTATGTTTTGTGTTATATTTTTAAAGTAACCTGTTAAGTTTGTAAAGCGAAATATGCATATTTAATTCTGAGGACGCAATTAAGACCTTTAGACTTATGCTTATGTCCCTATGCTTCTGTTTGCATATATTTTCATCCAATGAAATCGACATCACTTGACAATCATATCTGTCGCTGCAAGGGCTTCTTCGTATAGACTGTGTCAACAGTTGCAAATAAAACTGCACGAATTGCTGTCCGTTTTTTTTTCATATCAACGTGCAAATCTGTGAAAAAATTGACCTGAATTTAAAGTGTTATTACTTTCAAATCCATTGCTTTTAGCCTCTAAAAATGTCATAAATGTCTATATTTCTCACAGCCTCGTCAATAATCCGCCATATTGTTTGAATATGGCGGATTACTGACGAAGCTGTGACAACAGCGAAATTAATTTTGATCCCCAATTTTTATTTGAATATTAATAGTAGGATTTTTTTCAAGCAAATATGTCAAGCAAATACCCAGCCCTTAACTCCTGGTTTCTATTCGATAGTTTGGCTGCCATCATTTTGGCAACGCTATCTTACACCAACGCGTCAATGTTCGACAGTCAGCCACAATACACCATAAAAGCAGAGAAAAACAAAGAATTTGATAAATCCTGTCTTATTGGAACATTCAACACTGAAAGCGGAAACATAGCAGATTGTCTGGGGCACTGTCTAGGGAACTGTCGGTGTCAGTCGTTTCAAATTTGTCAAAATATAAAATGTCAACTGTGTTCAAGTCACAAGAAAGAGAACAGTTCATTGTTTCGTGGCAAAGACGGCTGCGTCTATGCTATGTATGAAACGCGACATTTAGCAGGAACATCAAAGGTAATCTAATCCGTATTTCCTCTACTTAACCCCCAAGCTCTTTTTAGTCCGCCTTTTCTAATTAGCCCCAAGATGCAATTTCCTGCAAGCGCCTCGCTCCCTCGCTGCGCTCCATTCTTCTATTCGCTCACTCGTCTTACTCATTACAAAAGAAAACGGATATTTGGTGTCTTGGTATTTTAGCGTACGCAGTGATCAACCCAAATTTAATAAATCCATACCGTAAAGAAACAGAAGTACCAGGTAGTCCACTTACCATGAAATCGTTCATGCAAGCCGAATATTTCATAAAATTCATTTCTTTATTTCCCTGAGATTCTTGGATTCCTCGAAATTCCTGGATTCCCCGAGATTCTCCATTCCCCGTTTTAAAAATAGCCCATGTATAACACCTCTATATGACAGAAATTTAGGAGGGTACGTCAAATTCATTTCTTGTGCATAAAATTAATTTCTTGTGCCATTTTTCAATTGCTGCTGGCCTTTTGTCACGTGATAGTCATTAAAGTTAAAAATGGAATTTGTCTTTATCACAAGAAATGTCTTGCGGTTAATTAAAATTGGTTCTTATCTTCTTAGAATTTCGACGCCCAATGTTCAGGAATGAGTTGCTCAATGAATGACAACTGTTGTCAACGATCGGCTGTCTGTCCCGATGGGAAAATATGTAAACCAAACAACTCCACCAAACAGCCCTGGAAACGTTTTACGTGCGAATGCCCGGAGGGTTACTATGGAGACAACTGTGACCAGCCAATTAGGTCATGCCAAGGATATGCCCAAGGTTCCCGGAAATCGGGCAAATATAAAGTAGTGGACTCTGATGGCTCATTGTATAAGATATACTGTCATTTTGATTCTGATGGTGCTTGGACACTGGTGCAGTCTTTCAGCTTTGCAAACCGTGCAGTTGCAAACAGTGACTTTAAAAAACCTTTATCTGAAGACACTCCTATCAGTCAAGATGCTGTACCTGCATGGACCGGCTATCGACTTAGCAAAGCTAGAATGAAGCGTATCAATGAAAATTCTGATCACCTACGGTTCACTTGTGGCTTCGAGAACGTCGATAATGTGAGTCAAACGGACTATCTTCAAATGTCGCTCGACGAGCTTGAATCGAATAAGGATATTACCACTCATAACCCAAACAATGAGATGATTTCTTACCGAGGTAAAATAGATGAAAAAGATCTAAGAGAATGCAAAATTAAGCTTCATCAGGACGGTAAAGGTTTGCACGTACATATCGATAATAAAGACGCTTGTGTGTTTTTCCCTGCATCGAAGCCGGAGGGCTGTAGCCACTTTCATTATTTTAGTTATTTTGAGGAAGAAGCATGTTCGCTATCAACACACAGTTGTACTCAGTATCAACATTCTACATCGCAGCTTTGGTTTGGTCAAGGTGGGTGAAAGTACAATTGTCGTTGGTGTTAAACATGGAATGCTTGTGTCTGATAGTAACGGTTTTAATAGCGTCCAACAAGCCCAATTCGTGCAAGTCTAGTTTGTAGTGACGCACTTGCCATTTTGCACAATGTTCGAGTGTAGCAAGAAAATAATTTAGTTGACAGTCTTATCGAGTTTCATGTAATATATATATTATATCTAAATCCTAGGACAACCCAAATCTTCATATTTAGCATGGTTGTTCAATAACACTGAATGCGCAGACTTCTTTGTGACGTACCCACAATGGCAAAATATATTATACACGAACCGTCGGTTTCTCTGACTGAGATAATTACCTCCGCCAGAAGGTTATGTTTTCATCCGCGTTGGCATGTGTATTGTCCCAGTTCACACGTCCTTCTTATCACAGATTAAGAATATACCGGATGTGTAACGTCATAGGACTTCGTGTCCTCAAATTTTCCCTAGATGTTCACGTCGTGTCACGCCATGACACTTGCCAGCAAAATGGCGTCCTGAAAAACACGAACTTTTGCAATTTATTGCGGCCTTTTTGGATCGAAATGTTTGGATTAAACAATCAATGTTGAATGTTTAAAGTTGTTGAAAGCAATTAAAGTTGTTAAAAAGGTGTTGAAAGCATTTTTGAAAGCAAGACGTCCAAATGACGAATTATCACGCGAGCGACACTTGTTAGGAAGATGGCGACCATGGGCCAACTTTTTTACACATTTGTACATACTTAATTAATAATCTATGTTCTTATACCAAAAGTGTCGTGATCTGTATGCTCGCGTCACTTGAAAGTTAATTAAACAGTCACATCACTTGTGTAAATAATGTTCACATGTACATATGTATTAGTTTATAGTATATAACCATTAGAATTATGTAGAATCTTTCCCCAAAGTGCATTAAATGGCGTTTCAGAGACTCTAAAATGTAAATCGGCACTTGATACTTGTGCCTTCAGCAGGGTCGCCGAGAGCGGGGCACTTTGCTCCGGGGCCCCAGCTCAAAAGGGACCCTCAAAGCAACGGAGGCCCTTAAATTTCTCGACACACTTGCTTAACTGAGAAAATGAATCCTAGCTGCGTTAGTGCTAGATAATATGCAATAAAGTATATATATATAATATATATAATATATTGTAAAACACAGCTTCTCCGTTTTACAATTATGACGTAATAGGGCTCTTTCCCGGGCCCCGGGCAATTTCTCGGCGGCCCTGGACTTCGGAGCCAAAGTGACCCTCACAAACTTTTTCGTGTTTCGCAGCCCCTTTACATCATTTCTGGCAAAACATGTTTTCGTCGGGCAAAACGACCCCCCTTCCCCCCCCACACACACACACACACAATATTTAGACCGAAGTTACGCCCCTAGACACCACGAGTACCTGGTACCGTTTACTATCTGGTAATCGGTTATCATTTTTCACTGACCGGCATCCGGTATCCTGCAAAACCCTGCAGAGTGGTACCCAGTACATCGCTACGGCTTCAATCGACTTTAAGCTGACAAAACAGTGTCGGCTTACGTGGTTTTATCAAGTAACAATAGCTGCCAATTGAAAATCCTTTGTTTGCATTTGTTTTCTATTTTCCACACGCTCTCGCAAAGTTTACATTCGTTATATACTGTATTACGCGATAAGCATGATCATTCCCACGAAAAATCTCGTTGTAGCTCACCGCTCACTGATCTCATAGTATATACTGTGTGAATCGATAAGATGGACCGCTGGCACAGAAAAACTTAAATAATTCTGTTTCCAGTAAAAAGACTATAAATATGTGACATTGGTAAGTTTTAACAGTAATGAATTACTATTGTACTCTACATTGTGTTAAAACGTTGTGTACATGTATGAAAACACTTTCTACAAAGTGTATAAAAAATAGACAATTTTGAAACGGCTCTCAATGTCACAAATCCATTATTTCATGAAATTTTTGATAAATATAGATTGTTTGGGTACTTATAATGTACAATAAACAAAACTTCTTCGTAAAGATAAATTTTTCAGAGCAGGGGGGTCTCTTTTAGCAGCAATAAAATTAACTTGTGCGCGAAATTTAAAAGTTTAAACGAATTTTGAGCCCATGGGCGAGAAATTTGTTATGTGTTTTATCAATAGTCCAAATATCAGAAAAGTTACTCAATTTTACGTCCTTTAAATAGCTGCTGAAAGTTTTATTTTTTGGCACCAATGCCAATCACGCGCATGCTTAATTCATGCATTAACCTGATTTGCGTACTGTTATTTTACTTTTTACAATAACAACTGTTGAAATATTTACGTTTCACAAGCTACATACAGAACATTCGCGTCCGTGGTGTATCTGGCCTTCGGCTCAAGTTTGTGATACAACACGGCCCCTTCATTATCTATACGTATAAAAAACGACTGAGAACAACCACGGCATACCTGTTTTACAATAATGTCCAACATCATAATAAAGGAAGCCAGAGTAGATTCACTCTCCAATACAGTAGACCACTGTCCTGCATTCAGGATATCTCCTTGGTGTACAGGTGAAGGCGGCTCACTGTGGGGGTCCTCCAAGCTCGGGTTTTGTAAGGAATCCATCGCCAATTGTAACATGTTCACCAACATGTGAATCTTGATTATTATATCTAGTTCTGATAGTATCTAAAAGATGGGGCAGAAAAAACTGTCTAGTGGCTGTGAAGATTGAAGCAGTACTATCCCCCTTAGTAACATTGGCTAACGGTCAAAACACTACTGTAACTATATTTATACTGGAAGTTTTATTCTGTCTAAGTTTTTCGTCATCGACGTGAAGAAAGGTTTCTTCCAAATTGCTCATGTAATTTTCCCGCTCCCGCTACTAACTTTCCGACTAAGGGCCTTCGCTCGCAACCAGGGACGTAGCTAACATGTATAGTTTGGGAACATTTCTGAATGACGAAAAAAAATTCTAAATCTGTCATGGCATACGAAGCCACGAAAGTGTTTGCTATCCGGAAAATGAAGACGCAATAAATTATAAATATAGATAATAATAAAATTATAAAATTATAAATACGCATATTTTACGCATAGACATATTCAAAGAAGTAATAAACCGAAAAACATTTGCTGATTTACGATTTGTAAATTGTTATCCATGTAAATGCCATGATTTCGTAAATCAGTTTATACTGACAACAAAATTCTATAATATTTTCTCTGTTCAACAACTAAAATTTCGTTATACAATTATTGCCGTAATTTTCCGAATGGCCAACCCGATTTTCCGAATATGTTAATTCTAAAAAGTTGGCGGGGGGGGGGGTGTTACCACCACACCCTCTCCCCGATTACCGCCCTCGCTACGGCCCTGCTCGAAACGTCAAAGTTTTTTTTTATGTTTTTCAGGTAGTTGTATCTCTATCAATTCGGCAGCTTTCTACTATATAATAGGGCAGATGCTATAAAACAGCCAATAGAGAAGAAAACCAAACTAGATGAAGAAAGCTGTGAGAAGCACTCTTAAGCTCTTCTTATACATGTGACCAGACTTGCTCCAAGTCCCTATTTCTGCGTCGGCCCACTCACTACACAAGATGTATAAAAGAGCACAGTAGTTTGGGAACTTTTGGTATCTGTATCACCAAATCATTCTGAAAAGTATATTTTCGAGTGCAGAACGACCGCTTTAAATATGGCTTGAGCACAAAAATGTGTTCTAACTCCACTTGAATTCATAGGGAAGCAAATTTGGAAGAATGCCGGACCTCTAAAACGCAGACGTTTTGCCATTGTATAGCCTATCACGCACAATATATCAAACGCAAGACTGATTTTATACATCATTGATTTTGTAATTGTAATTGTAAACTTCTATAGCGCATTTTCCATGACTAATTGATCAAATGACTAAACGACCATGACTAAATGATTTTATGCATGATAGATTTCTTACATACTCTTTACAAAACGTTTTAGAGGTTTCGCGTTGGTACATCAAATTGTCTGGTACTTTCATAACTCATAAAACACAGTGTAGCTTGTTGTAGTAAGCTTAAACTGTTCTTGTTGGACCAAAATGTTGGACGATGTTAGTCTCGTTTGAACAGGCCTTGAAGCGCCTCTTATATTACATACATGAACCTCGGTTACCTTTTACCGAGGTAAAAGGCATATACACTAACCACGGGCTACCTACTGCAAATTCCTGGTATATAAAGGTGTATAAGACAAGTACTGTATAACCGAGTTCACTTGGTATATTAGCAAAATAAATTATCTTTTACGTTTACTGGGCACTCCGCTCCAAAATAAATGGCCTTTTATAGACCAAACCCAGAGATTCGTAAACCTGGATGACATGTAAACCCAAAAGGCCCTATGAAGATCAATGTTACCGTGTATAAAGACAACACAACACAATACAATACAATATCGAACCTATAAACCGTCCATACTGTATATCATAAGCCCGTTTAATAGTTTTGTTTGTGGAAACACTACGTAAATTTATTACTGCAAAGCTTTCGATCCGTAAGCCCGGATCTTCATCAGTGCTAATAATATGAAGAAGATGAAGATCCGGGCTTACGGATCGAAAGCTTTGCAGTAATAAATTTACGTGGTGTTTCCACAAACAAAACTATTATATTTTATCACCATGCAAACATACAAAGAACTGTATATAAGCCCGTTTGTAAAATGAATGAGAGGAACGTAAAATCAATGGAAAATATGACCGTATATCATTACTGTTTCTCGAAGGTCTGCATATACAGTTCAGTAATCCAGAACTTAATAGTGGTCTAAAGGCATCGAGAGAACTAATTGTCTCTCTGAAATATATTTGTTTGTAAATATAGTGGTACATGTTTTTGTCTTCAGTTTCCAGTTGATTACGTCACCTTCCTATTTCTCCTGATAAAGATCTGAGCACGCTTGTAAATAATTAATTTAGTTGGTTTGACAGTCGAAATATCACCACCATAAGTTGTGTCTTGTTTTCTCGAAACTCATATCTTCTGTTTAAAGAGGTTGTCAAGTCCGTTCTGCTCATGTGCGTGATTTGTTTATATACAATAGATAATTTAATAGATAATTAAACAATAGATAATTTAATTAAAAATTCGAATCTGTAGACCCACAGTAATGTTGTAATTAAGTTGTAATTAAATTATCTATTGTTTGAAACAAAAAATGTAAACAAAACACGCGCATAAGCAGAAAGGACTTGACAGCCTCTTTAAAAGATGGCATTGTTATTTGAAGTAAGTCTTTTCGTACACTTCTTAAAATTATGTGCTGGTAAAGGATTCATGCCATTATTTATGGATATAATTGACTGTATTTATGTTACACGTCTCAAATTGCAGATTAGGTACGATGTAACGATTCCTTAAGATTCACCCATGACGTTTTGTGAAAAATTGAGAATTTTTGCCAATCGTTTCTCAGGATTTGTGAATGAGGTTGAAATAAATCAATGTTTCGTACATTTTGTACGCAAGCTATAAAATCACATATATACCTGTAACCAAGTAAGGGTTTGTCTTTGCAAGCTTTCTGAACCCGATTCAAAGCCATTCTTGATGAAAGCCATAACGACATCCATGGGTACTTTGAACGGTGACACAACTGGATCAAACATATCACTGGAAATGACAACACAAATATTTTATTATTATTATTATTATTACATAACATCCAATAACGCAACTGACAGTGTACGAAAAATAAAGAAATCAATCGAAAGAAAATCTCCAACTGATTTATAAGTCCAGTAAAACTTGACCCAACTGGGATATAAACTCGCAACTGAGCTATTGAGCGAACAGGGATTTGGGAGAGAGTTTTGTCCATTTTAAGTACACGAAATATTTTTTTTACGACTTAAATAGTGTTTTCATTCTATTACAAAACCACCCGTAAAGAAAAAAATTTCCAACATGATTTCTTCCAACGCCGAATTATACAAGTTGACTCAAGCGAGTTCAATTTTCAAATATAAGGTTTTATACTCTTCCTTTTGCAAACATTTTAAAGGTTTAAGCAAAGCTTTTCAATTTGGATAAATCTTATCAAATTATATTAATAAGAGCTGAAAAATAAGCAGTTAAACCAAATGTTTCAACATTATTGCATGATGTTGGGCCAACTTTGTTTGGGTTTATCGCAACCTGCCCTGTCACCATTCCCCGTGGGAGGAAATTCGCGGTGCTGGTCGACGAATCACAGTTTTTTTAAACTATGTATCTAGGGGGGCAATTGCCTGCATTGGTGTAGAAGTAAGGTTCCCAGGTGGGGGGGGGGGGGACTTGTTAAAAATCTCATGCTGATTTGGGGGGATTGACCTCCCAATTTTTTCCAGATTGCATTCATAACCAGGAAAGTTCTTTGCAACTGTATTGTTGAAATGATGCGGTAATGTTAGTAATCCGTACTTGATTACTATGATCATACTATTAGGTCATGTCTGTGGCTCGAACATAAAAGAGGGTCCTGAAGGGGTAAAATGGGAACTGGGATTTGCTTATTTTTTGGGTGGGAAAATGGGATTTCATGCACTGGGACTGGGATTCATCAGCAAAAAAACAATAGAAAATGGGAATGGGATTAAGATTTGAGCAGGACAGCCACTGAGATGATGGGATTTGTGCTCTGGGACAATGGGATTTAGTCACAATTCGGGCTGGGAAATGGGAATACGACCCTTCAGGACCCTCATAAAACAGCTTCGGTATATCGAAATCTTTATTGATGTTACGTCCTTTCTTCAAAAAACACTAATTTGATTTTACGTCCTTTCTTAAAAAAAACCCACTAATTAAAGATTAACAAGATTACAGGGTTCGTAGTCTCCAAGACCAAAAAGATTCAAAGACTTTCAAAGATTTTTTCTGCCTATTTTCAAAGACTTTTCAAAGACCTTTGAGAGCAATCAGCTGTCGAAAAATTGCGAGTGTATAAGCACAATTTTTGCCCAGTAATTAGTCCCGCCACATCACATCTAAAAATGTACCTTTTCGTCGATACTTGCGAAAACCTTGCTTGCTCTTCAATCAATCTATTTTATTAGCTAGGAAATTGTATAATCAAATACTCACTAAAGAATTAATTTTAAAGACTTTCTTCACTTTTTCACACAATTCAAAGACTTTTCAAAGACCTTAAAGACCTGCATTCAAATTTAAAGACTTTCAAGGATTTCAAAGACCGCTACGAACCCTGACTCTTACAAAAATAAATACTGGAATTTTCCACGTTGATCACGTTGCACCCTCCACGTCTTGTAATCTTCACGTCTTGTCACCCGGTCCCCATTGTTACCATTTCAGTAACACCACTGATCCCCCCTCCCCCGAAATAGGATTTGTTCTCCTCCTCTCCCTGGAAAAGCAGCCTCAACCATTGGTCAACTACCCATTGGTTAACAACTGGATTACCCAACCAAAACAAAACATAAAGTCACATGCTCAAAATCACTCTATTTGGAAAACAAATGTTTGCCTCCCCTCCCCCTCCTCCAGTGGAAATTCCTTGACAAATGCAATGCGTAGAATGCCCCCATTTGGAAAATCTGCAAGCCCATTATCAAAAGATCTTTTATCCGGCCTTTTGTACAACTTGCCTTAGCAAACTCTTGAACTCACGGAGACGTTCAGGTGGTACATTACTTCGGATTGCATTCATCCATTCTGGCATTATACGTTCCCATACCTGCAAAAGGATTCCATAATAAAGCATTACGACAGGGTTTCAAATGATTGGGCGCCATGCATGTCACCAAGTGCGACCAAATTTACTGCCGCTTACCGGACTGTCTCGCAGGGGTGGAAAAAAAATTTTTCTTTCTGGGAACCTGGGTCAAAGGCTAGAAATTTTCTGTAAAATTTGTAATGTTACAATTACAAAAATAACAAAATAAATGCATAGATTACATTGATGTCGAAGGAACTAAACTCAGTTCCGAAATATCACATACTCGAACCGACCTGACCGTGTAGCTCAGCTGGCAGAGCATTGGGCTAGTATTCCAAAGGTCGTAGGTTCGATTCCCACCGTGGCCAGGCATATTTTTCAAGCTTACCCGGTGTGGATACACACTCAGAATAACATCACAAACATCATAGTAAGAATCTAACGCTTAACTAAGTGTCCTATCATCTTATTTATTGAATCACTTTTATTTGTTTACTATTTAATTTGCATTTTATTGGAGACTTTGCAGAGCATATATTTACCATTTTACCAGTCATTGTGATGGCAAGGGTGGGTAAAAGAATTAATTTCTGTCAAATATTTAAAAGCTGCTGATGTTAGTGTGTACAGTGTAAATAAAGTAGAATAGTTGTAACTTGTAAGTTGAGTAAACAGAGTTATCTCAAAATGTTGAAATATTTTCTGGAAAATTTTCTGCAAAACTCTCAACTCAAAAAAATTTCTGGGAACTAGGTTCCCAGGTTCCGATACTTTTTCCACCCCTGCTGTCTCGCTAACAGTGCAAGGCCGGCTTCTATATATATACACAACGAGATTTTTGGGCTTATAGCTCGCTAGATAGCAGGCCTCGAAAGTAAGTGCTGGTCACCGGTCATTGTCAGGTAAATTTTTTCATTTTGACCAGCAAATACTGTCTCTTACCGGACACGCATGACCGGCGAGTTTTTCTAATGTAAAAATGCGTTCGAGCGAATTTTTGTTTCCCATAATTTCGTGTTTACCCAGAAGAGCGGAAGTCTCGCCTGTCATTCACAGCAGGCATTACTCCTAAACTCTAGAGCATACGCTCCCAACTCAAATTACATTTGTCATCAAAACTTCCTGTAGCTCAGATACAGCACGATATGGCAAACAATTGTTGTGTTTCTCAACACCCAAACACTAAGTATTCTTGTATAAATTGTGGGGTGACCACATTTTTTAAAGGATAATAAGCAACAGTTTGTAATTTGTATAATAATACTAATACACATTTCTTTCCTTGTTTCGTCTGTTTGTAAATCTTTTCTCGTGATTCTCGCCAATAAAACGGGCATTTTATTCAGAATTCAATTTCAGGATATTCAGATTATCTGTAATCATACCTGCACAAGTTCACTTAAAATAGGTGCAAATAAGAAAATCGAAAGATGACTGGCAAAAAATCCATCTTGACCGGCAAATTTAATAATAGTGAATTTAAGATACCCCGGTTTCGGTTTACGGGTAGCATGATTTTGGTTAGCAATATTTTCGTCGATGTCTGTACTTTTACTCGTAATTAAGGTGCAAAATTTTCGCATTATATCATTGTCTATTGCAAGAAAACAGAAAAAGTATGATCGAATTACAGACATCAGTAAAAACTAGTAAACACGATGACACTACTCGTACTCGTACACCGAAACCGGGGTATCTTAAACTCACTAATGCACCAGTCATGATGACCGGTGTACCTTCCAGATTTATTTCGAGGCCTGCATGCAGTATATAGAACTAATGGTCGAAGAAAGGTTTAGTGGAGATCAGTAGATGAAAATTTCGAGCAAAAGTTATATAAAATCGTGGAGGCCCGCTACGCAAGACAGCCCCGGCTGTGATAAAACCTCGGGGTATACGGGTTAAAGAACGTTGCGTCTGGCACTGACGATTGCGCTTCATTCCGCGCGCGATCAGTATTCCGGAATGCATCCGTTAAAGCAGACAATTCGGAAAGAAAACATATGTAACCTTTTCACAATATCATGCCACAAAAACGCTACACGCAATTAACGAAATTAACTTTAATTTTCGCAATTAACGAAACTAGAATGGATAGTACTATACCAATTGAATTGATATCCCTATCCGGTTATACTTGGGTTTCCAAAGACAGAAATAGATCTGGTGGTGGTGTTGGCTTTTTCATACGTGATACAATTAATTTCCAGCTTAGATCTGACCTTAACGATCCTAATATTGAAATCTTAACAATTGAAATTACCAAAAACAAAAGCAAGCCATTTCTACTTACCACATGGTATAGGCCCCCAAACGACCCTATCGACACACTTTATAAATTTGAAAATTGCCTTAAATTGATTGATAATGAAAATAAAGAAAGCATTATTTTAGGTGACGTTAATTCGGATATCCTAAGTAGCAATCCTTCACATCTTGTCTCCGAGATGAATTTCATCACTAATCTTTATCAATACGAGCAATTGATAAATGAACCTACAAGAGTCACAAAAGACAACGCAACTTTGATTGATCACTTTTATACAACAAAACCAGACTTAATAATTTCTAGTGGGGTAAGAATTATCACTATTAGTGACCACTACTTAATTTACGGTATTCGTAAATTTTATACAACCAAGGGAGCCCCGGAAGTTGTAGAATATCGGGATTTCAAGCACTTTAATGAAAACAATTTTCTTTTTGAATTGGAATCATTATCAAGCCTAAATTTAGACCATTTAGATCCCAACATTTCTTGGTTAACTTGGAAAAATAAATTTCTTCATATTGTCAATAAACATGCACCCTTAAAAAAACGTAGAGTGTCTAAGAAACGTGTACCTTGGTTAACCCGTGAGTTAAAATATTATAAACGCCAAAAAGCATATCTTAAACGAAAGGCAACTTTATCTAACTTAGACGGCGACTGGGCAGCCTATAAATCATTGAAGAATCATTATAATAGATTGATTAAAAGTACAATGCGTCAACACTATCAAGAAAAGATACATAATAATTCAGGTGATATTAAGAAAACATGGAAAATAATCAATGAGGTGATTAACAAGTCAAAAAAGCCAATAAAGTACTACAGCTTAAAAATGAAAATAACGAAATTATTGATCAAGCGGATATCCCAAATCAGTTTAACAAATATTTCATTGAATTAGGGGATAATTTATCTAATGATATACCCTTATCAACGTCAACTCCCGACAGATATTTTACCAATTTTCAATGTCCAACTGACACTTTATCGCACTTTAAAGAGGTATCAGAGACTGTAATATTGAGATTGCTTTCTAACTTAACTATATCCAAGGCATCCGATCTGGATCAAATTTCGGCTAAAGTTTTAAAAATTGCAGCACCATCTATTGCTCCATCACTTACTTTAATTTTTAATCAATCAATCCGCACTGGCATATTTCCATCTGACTGGAAAGTTGCGAGGGTTACACCAATTTATAAATCTGAGGAAAAATTCTGCATGTCCAATTATAGACCTATATCCGTTATTTCAATTGTTGCAAGAATCATGGAAAAGCTAATACACAACCAGATCTATGAATATTTGATTAAGGAAAATCTACTAGCAAATTCCCAACACGGCTTTAGGCCGAACCATTCAACTCTAACTGCGTTGCTCGATATCACAAATAGATGGTATCAGAATATGGACATTGGCCAACTTAATGGTGTGATATTTCTTGATTTAAAAAAAGCATTCGATACTGTTAATCACGACATCCTTCTTAGTAAGTTGGCAATTTATGGCATAAGGGGGTCGGCATTACGCTGGCTCAACTCCTATTTACCAGGTCGAATACAATATTGCCAAGTGAATGCCCATTTATCTGATCCTCTATGTGTGACAACGGGTATACCACAAGGTTCGGCTCTTGGTCCACTCTTGTTCCTAATTTACATAAATGACCTACCTAATTGTGTGGAACACACTAAAGTCAATATGTTTGCCAACGATACCCAAATTGAAACGGCAGGTTATGATGTTAATACAATTGCTGAGGAACTTAATCAAGATCTAGAAAACGTTTCAGTTTGGTTGTCGGCAAATAAACTAACTTTAAACAAAACGAAGACAGAATACATGATAATAGGTAGTAATAGAAGAGTCAATCATATTAACATAACGCCTAATATATTCATAAAAGACAGAGTCAAAACAACCAAATCACTCGGCTTAATGATTGACGAAACACTCTCATGGAATGCTCAAGTTGATCAAATTACAAAAAAGGTTAATTCAGGTCTCAGTATCCTTAAAAGATTGAGAGACATTCTAGATTACCAAACACTGGTCAAAATTTATTTATCAATAATTCAACCACATTTCGACTATTGCTCACAGATTTGGGGTTGTCTGGGTAAAGTACTATCTGATAAACTCCAGAAGCTTCAAAATAGAGCATTTCGAATAATAACTCGTGAAAACTATGATGCACGTACAATCGATGTTTTGAACAAGGTCGGTTTTCCAAATCTCGTGACTAGAAGAAAACATCATTTAGCCGTCCTAATGTTCAAAGCCAAACATAACATGTTACCAAATTGCTTAACGGAACTTTTCATCACCTCAAATGAAATACATAATTACAATACAAGACAGAGCGAATTCAATTTTGCATTACCTAAACCTAAAACTAATTTTATGAAAAAGTCTTTCGCCTATCGAGGAGCTGAGACTTGGAATAATCTGTCTGCTGGCATAAAAGCTAAAACAAGTATCTCTACATTTAAAAATAGTCTAACTGTAAGTGTGTAATTTGTGTGTAATTTAGTTATTATTATTAGATACTGTAGTATATGTGTAATTAGTATAGCTATATACGGCCTATTGGAAGATCACCCGTCTTAATTTTTGTAATTATCTTGGTGAAATAGTACCGTTTTTAATAAAGTCAATAAAGTCAAAAAAAGTCCTCGTCGTCATCCTCGTCCTTCTCCTCCACGTCCTTCTCCTCCTCGTCATCGTCCTCCTCCTCCTCATCGTCCTCTCCCTCGTCGTCCTCGTCGTCCTCATCCTCGTCCTCGTCGTCCTCCTCGTCGTCGTCCTCGTCGTCGTCCTCGTCGTCGTCCTCGTCGTCGTCCTCGTCGTCGTCCTCGTCGTCGTCCTCGTCGTCGTCCTCGTCGTCGTCCTCGTCGTCGTCCTCGTCGTCGTCCTCGTCGTCGTCCTCGTCGTCGTCCTCGTCGTCGTACTCGTCGTCGTCCTCGTCCTCCTCGTCCTCCTCCTCGTCGTCGTCCTCCTCCTCGTCCTCCTCGTCCTTCGGTGAAATTTATCCAATGCCAAACAGTTCTTCGGAAAGCTTTAAAACTTTCTCCTAATCAATATAATCAATTAACGAAATGTGAAAATCTACTAATACTCATACTAATATCCAACATTACATTTATAACTCAACCAAAGAAGTGCTTAAAGATTTTCGCTCTGAATATGAAAATAAACTCCAAAACCAATTAACTTGTCAGGGATCCTTTTTCTCTAATGTGACAAAGTTCTCCTTGTCGCATCTTAACAAAGTGTGGTCTACTGCTCAATCAAAACTTCCGAAAAACATTTATAACTTTACTATACGCTGTATCAATAACTCTCTTCCGACACGTAAGAGGCTTAGCAGATGGCGGATTGTCTTCAAGTTCAGAATGCCTCCTTTTGTCTCGGCCCAGAATCATTACTGCACGTGGTCGCTGGATGTCAGTGTTATCTCGATCGATTTACGCGGAGGCACAATTCAATCCAGAACTTTCTTGCCAATACCTTGCAAACTGTGAACGGTTCTGCCCTCTACGCAGATGTGCCTGGATTCAAAAGTCCATCAATAATAACTGGTGATACATATCGCCCGGATTTGTTGCTATCATTATCAAATGGCTCTCTTTATGTGGTCGAGCTCACTGTTGGGTTTGAGACAAACCTCGATATAACGAAGCTCCTCGCAACTCGCTGCGAGCGCTTGCATCTAATTAAAATGAAATGTTTTATAGCATTGTGATTGGATGAAAGTGCTCATGCATGCACTTGCAGCGAGCTGCGAGGAGCTTTGTGCGAGGACTGGAAATCCGCCTTTAAAGCCGACGGAATCAAACGAGGATGCCAGAGCGAATGAGTGTTGGCAGTCACGCGATCTTGGTCAACTGTCCCTTAACACTATCACATGTAATCTATTTAAGAAAAAATAGTTGGAACTCTGATAAAACTTATGTGAACGTATGTAGACCTTAAAATATCTACTGGAACAATTCGTGATTGCCAACTCTCATTCGTGTTTGATCGTGGCTAATATTAATTTAATTGGACAAATAATGAATATTTGTGAGTATAGGTCGTTTAAATAAAAAAATTCTCAAACGCGAAAACTGTTTGGATATATTGCTTTGTCCTTCAGGTATGACGTATCCATGCATGTAAAAGCAATGCCAATGGCAATGCTCGATTTACTGGAATAACGAGGACAGTATTCATTGGAATCATTGCGTAGCTGAGGCGATATTTGGCGGAGATTGGCGTCGTATTAGCTACTAGTACGAACATGGCACGAAGCCACGAACCTGTGAGAAGTAAGAGTCTTAGACTAATAAGTGTCTTTTTAATAATTTTAGCTAAATAACTAACTTAGATACATATTAATAACTTAGACATAAGTTTTATTGGAACCCGTGTATATATGAGTCTCAGAGTTTTAAATGTAAAGTCATGCACACGTCTGTTGTGGCTATATATATAAAGCTTATAATAATAATATTCGAAAACATATACGATGCATCCACTTCGAAAGCCAAATTTCCACTCTTCCTTCACAGTTTTATCGTAATCGACGTCATGTCAACTGGTGTTAGGAATGAAAGGATTTAACTCGTTAAAATTAACTTAATTGATACTTATGAATATCATGCACCTAGACTATAATATATATTTTCTACCGACCCACAAAAAGTCTTTGTCCTTTGATGTGATATCGAACTTTGTTCGATATGCATGAATTAATTTCTTATATGATTGTTCAAAAATCGTTGCAATTTACTAGAATGATAACTCCCTCCATATATTCTAAGCTAGCATCATGTATTCTAATAAAACATAGTTGAAACACTTATCAAATTCAACTTTTAGTTTATTAAAGTAGACGGTGTCGGTGTAACTAGGCCTTGAAACGTCCACTTTAACAATTCGTGATTGCCAACTCTCATCAGACTGCATGACCCTGAACAAATATTCATATATGCAGTAATGTATATACATTTAAAAAGCTTAAAATAAAAAGAAGCGAGACAAGATACTAGAGAGAGTTATCATGCTGAGCTGGTAAATTACCAAGATTTTGATCTGAAGGATCATAATACAATCATATCCGACGAAGATCAGATCAGAGCGTAAACGTATTGTTTTAAAATATGAATTATTAAGAATATTTCCGAATGAACTGTCTATATGTAAAATATACGAGTTAACTACACATGTTTCAGTTTTGAGTATCCTAAACACCATTATATTATTTTAACCTGAACCTCAACCATTCGGTAAAATGAAGGAGAAATGGCATTTGGCTTACGAAGTACATCGTGTATTCTTTGGAACATCATTCTTACTTCTCACAGGTTCGTGTCTTCGTGTCATGATTCGTGCTACTAATACGAAGACACTCTTCGCTAAATCTCGCATCAGCTACGCAATAAATGCTGTCGTCGTTATTTTTACCTTAAGTCGAGCATTGGCGCTGCTTTTACATGGATACGTGAATGACGAAGCAATACCAGCAATTTTCGCGTTTGATAAGTTTTTATTCAACATAGGTTTTCCATGTTTAATAGCTGCATATGCACGCTTGATCTACCCTTGTCTGGAATATCTGCAAGATCGTACACGGTGTCTGTTCAATATGGTGTTTGTGCAATGCTATATATTTATCATAGCAGGAATCGCAGAAGCAACGGATCCTTATGGTCAACATGTAAGTTCATACGTCAATTTTATACTATCATCATACTCTATGCTGTGTGCACTGTGCGCCTTCATTGCTTACGCGAAGACTTTCCGCAGCAATTCGTCTAACGATATTGAAAAATCGAATGGCCTGACGGTAGAAATCATTAATACAACAAGCTCTGAAACAACAGCCAATGACATGAATACAAGGAAAGCTACAATTAAAGAAAACATCGTTACAGTTTCAATAGCGTGTATATGGGTCGTATGTGTTGTGATCAGGAGCTGTATTATGACTGGAAACCGTAAGGATTTCGGAAACGATATAGACGTGGAGAGTTGGTATTCGTGGATGTACGCAAACGTACTTCGTATGATAGAATTGGGAAATGCTGCCATCATGTCACATCTGGTACAACGTGTCACGCTAAGACAAAAATTTCCGTTGCCGATGTAAACTTTAAAACGCAAACAACCAAAGAACCCAAAACAACATCTAACATTATAAAAGGCAAAATTGTCCTGGCCAACTTAAACGACGCCAAAGTACAGTAACAAAATGCAATGCCATTGAACCTAGACTTGGAACATGCAACCACTTTAATATTAATTAACGGGAGAATCAATACAATTTTCCAACTGAACAGTATAGAAAATCAAATTACCCATGAATTGCAAAATATATATGCAAGATGCAAAAAACGGAAACAGTTCTTTGTTTTCGAAGGACACGCCCCTGATATTCCCCTTAAATGCCGCAACGTAGCAACAAGCGAACAAGTTGAACTTTCTTTAAATCTCGAAACTTTTATCAAAAAATGAAGAAATGTATGGATACTGTGAAGACTAAAAGACAAGCGCTAGCAATGTATGTTTAAACATACTATACAGTAGGTTTATATTAGCAATTGCAGTAAATTTTCAGTTTCGAGGCAAAGTGTAACATTAATTTAATTTAATTTAATTTATGCAGCTTGTTCTCCGATGTTTTTTCAACAAGTGTTACTTGACTACATTTATCATGTCAAAATTAGTTTTCCAAACCCTTCAGCACAAATTGCATAAAAAACTGCGCAATATCTAGCAGTGTGTTAAATACATGACTAATAATAGCCATAATATTTCCTTTCCCTTGACATAAAACTCCGCATTTAGCATTTGGTCTCTGGACGAAACTTTGAGGCCTGTTAATTCAAATGCAGCCAGAACACAATCTTTAACTTATTCATCAGACCATAGTTTGCCCCTTATGGCATACACTTGCTATTCCACGAGGCTTTCCAGTATTCTATCATCATCTCCTTATCTTCCAGCATTTAAAATACTTTTCTAATTACTGGTGACTTTTCAGACCCCTTGTAATGATGCAGCTATAAATCTTACAACAACAACAACAAGCTCCCAAATGTCATCAACAATAAATTGGGTCACTCTGGAGGTCTGAAATTACGACTGTATACAGCTATCAGAAAACAAAATGATAAACTGTAATACCACAAGCATGACTAAGATAGTTAACCCATTGAATTAATCTGCAATGCATGTGTACGCTGAGGTGCCACTTATCAAGAGAAGGAGAGCATTATGCACTGGTCAATTGATCCACTCCCCCCCGCATCTCCGGGATTCCCAGGGCATTAGCTTTCTATGTGTGTGAAAGTTAGTGAATTTAATTATAATTATATTGCAAAAGGCAACGCCCAGGCAAGGGTACTAATTCTGGGCATAAGCCCAGGGCAAGGGTACTAATTCCCCCCGGCTATTTACACCTGGGCAAAGGAAAGCATTAGCGAAGTCTAAAGTGGTGTCAAGGTTCATGGTGTATGGGTGGACCTCTTCACTGAACTAAAAAATATGGCTGCTTGCCAGGAGTTGGAAATGCAATATTTCAATTTTCAAAAACATATATTTAAAAATCGTTTCATGTACAATTAAGAGCTTTGAAGCAATTTTTGTTTGACAAAATGAGAGGAATTGATTTACTATGGGAAATCGTGAAATATAGGGCAAGTTTGCTTTGAATGTTTAATGTTTGGGAATTTTGTCTAAAATATAACATATTAACATTTTGTCTAAAAGATGAACTGTTTTCCTTTCCAACGAAGCTGGAATCGAGCGTGTTGTTAATTTTACCGTCACATAAATTGTAAGTGGTTGATTGTAATTCATCGTGCTTGTTTGTTTATCTTCACGTCTGTGTGTTGTAATTCGTTCTGCTTGTTTGTTGATAAATATATCTGTCTGTCTGTCTGTCTGTCTGTCTGTCTGTCTGTCTGTCTGTCTGTCTGTCTGTCTGTCTGTCTGTCTGTCTGTCTGTCTGTCTGTCTGTCTGTCTGTCTGTCTGTCTGTCTGTCTGTCTGTCTGTCTGTCTGCCTGTCTGTCTGTCTGTCTGTCTGTCTGTCTGTCTCATTATGCAACTTATTTAACTGCTCAGTAGCAACTGTTGCATTTCCAGATGATTGGAAAATTGCAAAAGTTAAGCCACTTCATAAAGGAGATGCAAACGATCTTTTAAATAATTACAGACCAATCTCTGTTCTAAGTGCTGTGAGCACAATCTTTGAACGAATCGTTTATGACCAGTTGCAAGCATACCTTAATGAAAATGGCCTTATTTATGATAAACAGTCTGGATTTAGGCCAGTTCACTCCACCACAAGCGCACTTTTGGACGCAACTACAGAATGGCTAAGCAATATGGACAAAGGCCAATTGAATTCTGTAGTGTTTCTTGATTTGGCCAAGGCATTTGATACGGTGGATCATGAGATTTTGTTGAGCAAACTCCAGATTTATGGAGTTGATTCAATGAGTCTCAATTGGTTTAAATCGTATCTATTTGACCGAAAACAAAAATGTAATGTAAATGGTCTAGTATCAAGTGAGCGCTCGTTGCATTTCTTGTTTACATTAATGACCTTCCTTCGTGTCTGCAACATTCTACAGCACGAATGTATGCGGATGATACAAATATAAGTACAACTGGAAAGTTGATAAAGGAAATAGCATCTGGTGCCAATACAGATCTTGAAAATATTCGCATATGGCTGAAAGCAAATAAACTTACCCTGAATGTTACTAAAACGGAGTATATATTCATTGCGTCTGACAGTAATCTTGACAAACTGCGGGACATACCATATTTAGTTTTGGGTGGAAAACCCATAAGAAGAGTTAAAGTATCAAAATCACTAGGGATATTTATTGACGAAAGATTGTCATGGAGAGATCATATTGATAAAATCTCTAAGACCATATGCTCCGGAATTTCCGGTCTGCGGCAAATGAGAGAGTTTGTTACCCTTTCAACATTACTTACAATATATAATTCACTAATTCAACCAATATTTGACTATTGTGATGTTGTTTTGGATAACATCAACGACTCCAAAAACAACAAAATCGTCCAGCTAGAGTTATCACTTGTCAGGGTTATGAAGTAAGATCTAATGATATTAGAAGTCAATTGAAATGGAAAACGCTTTCCAAAATAAGAAATAGTCATAAACTCATAATGATGTATAAAATATTAAATAATATGGCTCCTGTCTACTTACGTGACCATTTTAAAATGTTTTTCACAGACCAAGCATATTCTCTTAGAAATAGAAAACTATGTCTAATTTTGCCAAGAGCACAAACAGAATTCCTAAAGAAAAGTTTTGCCTTTTCCGGAGCAAAAGTTTGGAACGAACTACCAGAAGAAGTAAAATGTAGCAATAGTTTACAAATCTTCAAAAAATGTATCTCATCTCATGCCTAAAATTGTATATAGCTATTTTTAATATAATGTCGGCCCTCTTGTAAAGCAGTGGTATCACTGAAGAGTTCGCCGAATTTAAATAAATATTTCTCTGTCTGTCTGTCTGTCTGTCTGTCTGTCTGTCTGTCTGTCTGTCTGTCTGTCTGTCTGTCTGTCTGTCTGTCTGTCTGTCTGTCTGTCTGTCTTTCTGTCTGTCTGTCTTGAACAGCTTTACACCTATTTCAATGAAAACAACCTGTTACACAAGAATCAATCAGGCTTTAGGAAGTGCCACTCTACTATGACTGCACTAATTAATAGATGCCATTATTGAATGGCTTGCAAATATGGATCAGGGAAAGCTTGATGCGGTTGTCTATATTGATCTAGCGAAGGCATTTGATACTATAAGTCACGAGATATTACTCGAGAAACTCCACATTTACGGGGTTGATACAAATACTTTATCCTGGTTTCAATCCTACTTACAAGATCGCAAACAAAAATGGTATGTGAATGGCGTTCTATCCGGCGAACGTACCATTAATTGTGGTGTGCCTCAGGGGTCAATTCTTGGACCGTTATTGTTTCTCATATATATCAACGATCTTCCTCAGTGCATGTTTAAACATTCTACAGCTCGAATGTACGCTGACGATACAAACATAACAACGACAGGAACATCTATTCGAGAAATAGTAACACATGCTAATGATGACTTAAATAATATAAGTGACTGGCTGAATTCGAAAGCAAACAAACTCAGCCTCAACGTGACCAAATTGAGTACATGTTCATTGTATCAGATCAAAATTTTGATAAGTTAAGAGATGTATCACTACCATTTCTTGAAAACAAAGCTATAAAAAGGGCAAAGCAACGAAATAATTAGCGGTACATATTGATGAAAGACTAACATGGCATGAACACATTCAAAATATTTCAAAAAAAGTAGGTGTTGGAATTTCAGGTTTACGGCGGGTAAGGGAATTTGTCCCATTATCGACATTGGTAACAATCTATAACTCATTAATACAACCACTATTTGATTACTGCGATGTTCGGTTTGGGACAGCCTTCCTGCTGCTTGTGCTATAGCATTCCACAAAAGTTACAAAATCGTGCCGCTAGAGTTATTACTCATCAAGGTTATGATATCAGATCCAATGAAATAAGCAAAACACTAAACTGGAAAACTCTTGCTGAAATGCCAGACATACACAAATTAACTATGTATTCATAAGATATTGAATAATTTGGCACCAAATTATTTGAGAGACCATTTTGAAATGTCTGCCATAGATAATTTTTATAGATTAAGAAATAAAAAACTATGCCTTGTACCAGCCTAGACCTAGGCCTTCTATTTTTATTATTTTTTTTAATATTCAGCGCTTTTTCACATGAAAAGACTGGGACTAGGTGATTTGGGGGCGGGGCGGAGGATGCGCAAGCGAAAAAATAGAAGGCCTAGTGGATTTCCCAACAACAAGGCCAAAACTGCCCTGAAACTGCCCTGGTTGTGAAATGCCCAATTATTGCCTTTTCAAACAGAATTATTTGCAACTTAACAGCGAATTTAAACCGATACAGGTAAAATAAACTCATTTATAGTATAAACTTACTATTTTTATTTGTATGCACGCCTAGAAAATCGGGGTTTTTATCATAAAGTTTGAAGCAACACTATTATTATGTTGCGAAAGGTCAAAATGAGTCAAAATATTACTACAAAATAGAACTTAGTTTAGTCATAAAATGTTTTTATAGTTAATGTAATAACTACTGGACAGTATAAATTGCTTCAGTTGTTGGTTTCTGATCAATTTCGTATCACAAAGTTATGGGGCTAATTTGAGAACTTGTGAAATCTACTGGGCCTTTACGAGGCAAATGACCATTGCGATAATTACCAGCCGAGTAAAGGCCTAGGTCTAGGCTGGCCTTGTACTACCAAAGCCTCAAACTGAATATTTAACTTAAAGAAAAGCTTTGCATTTTCAGGGGTAAAATTGTGGAATACTTTACCTGAAGATGTAAAATGCAGCAACAGTTTGAGTCAGTTTAAAAAAGGAGCAATAATCACATCATCAGCTAAAATTGTAAATATATTCAGATCAGTCTTGTAAATGCACTGAAGAATTTCCGAATTCAAATAATCTGTCTGTCTGTCTGTCTGTCTGTCTGTCTGTCTGTCTGTCTGTCTGTCTGTCTGTCTGTCTGTCTGTCTGTCTGTCTGTCTGTCTGTCTGTCTGTCTGTCTTTCATACTTTGTATTTCGAATGTTTTGGAACGCCGTTATTGGATAACTAATCTCTGACGTGTGTGATAATTCCAGCGATGTAATCTATTGTGTAACTAATTTTATGTAATAGTTTGTCAGTGTGAAATGGCAAATTCCGTAAAATAAAATAACATAAGCTGTATAGTTTCCTAAGTTAGCTCCTGTTAATTAATAATTTAAGCCGGTTTTCCACTAGGCGGAATTTTGCGCGCGGAGCGGAATTTTTCTTTGACTCAGTTCTAATTAGTTCCACCCGAGAAATCACAAGACAAAGAAAAATTCCGCTCCGCGCGGAAAATTCCGCCTAGTGGAAAACGACCTTAATTTAAGAAAAAACTTAAAATGCAAAGCAAAGGAGAGCAAATTAATTTGCAGTGGGAACTACAATTACCCGTATTAAGTAAAAACAGTTTATCGGCAAATGTAGTTTAGTTGAATGAACATTTCAAGGCATTTTACGATGCGTTTCAAGTTAAATTTTACATTAAGTCAAAGCTCACAAAATGCAAAATAACATACCAGCAGTACATATTTAGTAATAGTAATAGTTATAATAATAGTTTATTAAAAAACCCCTTGCAGTAGAAACTGAATTACAGGTCATTACAAAAATCTTATTTACAAATATTATTTACAGTATATAAAACTTATACAAAATTATCTGAGAGGTGTACATAATTTATTATAGTTAAAAATGAATGTATAACTAGACAATAGAGTTATTAGGTTCGGCGATCACAGTTCAGGTCGCATACTTAATGGTAACGAATTTCTGAAACCGGTCTGTTCGCATCCTGATATTCCTCGCAACATTGTCAGATCTAAGTTTATAATCATGGTTCACTGGTGCTGACCGGCTATGAACAATTGGATAGAGTGGGTTTCCAGGTAGAATTGTCTCCACAAATCTCTTACAGGCGGTGTCCCTCCGTAAGACAAGCGGTTCGATACCAGCTAGTTTTAGGGCATCATCATAGGAACAGTTAGGGTATATTATGGCCAGTGCTCGTTTCTGGACCCTTTCAAGATCGTCGCTAAGATTTTGAGGAAGGTTGGCGAAAACGACGGAAGCATATTCCAATACTGATCTTATAATTGCACAATAAACACATAGGATGTCTGTTGGGGCTACCCCACTCCTCTTAAGCTTCCTCAACGCATATAAACGCCTATTAGATTTCTTAATAATGTATTCACAATGCACAGACCATGTTAAATCACTGGTAACATACACTCCGAGCAGTTTAAATGATGAAACAGATTCCACGCGTGTTGCACCAATGATGATAGGTTGCAAAACACTAGTATTGAAGTGAAGAAAGTTAACAATCATATCTTTACACTTGGCAGGATTCAGCTTCATATTGTTC